CTAATACAATATGCACAATTTGCATTTCATCAAGAACATCCTCTGTAAGTATTTGAGAATTATTTAAATTGTTGAAGTTATTTATTTCACACTCGATTGTTGGGTCTAATGAATTTGTTGTTAGGTCTATGATCAATTCATCGTTTTCATCTTTTTCAAAATCTGCCAAGTCTTGCAGGGCAAGAGTAGTATCTTCAATTTTGTCACCAGATAATGCTGGAAGGATTCCAGTTTTTACCCAACAATTTACAATTGTTGAAGTTTCAACCTCATCCCATGCTTCTGCAATGTAAGTTATTGCTTCTTTAATGTTTAATTTTTGCCTGTATAATTCAAGAAAATTTAAATTAACAAAATTCTTTAAAACCATTCTATAGAAAAAAATTGTAATATGAAAAAGTAGCAAAAAACTAATAAACAAAATGATTATCATTTAGCACTGCATATAGTCTGAGTACCACACTTATCTAACAATTGAATTGTACTATTTTTGAAGATATTATATGCAGTTCTATACAACAGTATTAAAACCAAACTAAAATTAAAAAAAAGGTACAATCAGCCAGAATGACATATAAACTAAAAATGTTAAATAATGCACTAGCATTACCACCTAGAAAATTTCACTGATCAATCAAATTTTAAAGATCTTGTATAATGCAAAAATCAAAACAATCCAAGACTACAAATTTTAACGCACTGTACGTACATACGTACATACATACGTATGCCTCCTGCATTAAAGAAAAAAAGAAAAAATTTGTTTTGAAAATTTGTTATTAATAACCTAACCTAATAGTGAACTTGGTTTTAATTCAACAGTAAAATTCCTTAGCAAAACTTTTTAGGCTAACAACACTAGGCTCATGAATATGTTTTTACATTTTTAAATCCTCTCCTCTTTCAAATTGATTAATTATGTATCGTATGTATTTTCTTTTGTACCTTGCTTTAAAGCTGTTGATTATACCCACATCTATCAGTTGCAAGTGAGCGGTAGTGTGAGATGGCAAAAATTCAAGCCTAATATTTGTTAAAGAAGTTTCAGAAGATTCTAGAAGTCTAAAAAGACAAGCACGGCTCTGATGACCCTTGCTACCACAAGAAGCCTGCTCACAACCACGAACACAGCCATGGCCATGACCATGACCATGAGAATTTCGTCCACTTTGTTTATTGATGTTACTAGCACTTAACCTTGGGTGGCTATAGCCACGTCGAATAGAGTTCTTAGACGAGCTTGCATGACTCTCTTCATTATTCGAATTCTCACTTTCTAATTCCTTTTCTTCACTATTTGATTCTTCATTTGATTTTGATATATCTTTATTAGAATTATTAGAATCATTATCTTCAACAGGATCATTATTTTCATTTGGTTCATTAAGATTATAATAGCTTGATATACCATCAACTAATAGCAAAATATGCTGGTTTTCCAAGCAAAACTTCTTATCAAGTTCTGTAAACCATTCACCAAAAATATCTGATCGCATCCAGGCTTTTAAATTTGATCGGTATATAACAGGTAAAGTATCATAGTTTAAACAGGCTAGAGCATGAAGTTCAATAGATGATCCAATAACTATTGGCTTTAATTTTTCAGTTTCAGTCGTGTTTGCTGTCAATATTACAGTAATACGTGCACGATCCTAAGGTTAATTCAATAATTAAAACAAATTAAAATCTTTAGTTTTTGTTAAAAACAGTATACAAATGATTTTTTATTTTATTATCTCTGGTTTAAACTTGTACACACAGTATACACTTAATAAAGTACTATATGCACACCTTATTCATTAAGGTAAATTCAAAAAAAAAAACTTGTATACAATAAAGACCTTTTTCTATTCTGATTGTGGTTGTGATGAGAAAATCTGATGTGGTGCTATCTGAAAGAATAACCTGTCTTATCTGCATTAAAAATGTTTTCTAATAGATATTCTTTTATTATTTCATGAAATATTATTTTTTGTTCTGGAAGTATTTCTATTGGTGCACTATTGGCTTTCCCATATAACTGGTAGTTTCGTAGATTATTCTTTTTTTTGAATTTATAGACCCAACTATTAGAAAATTTTAATGTGCTATCTGGCAAACCTAATGCCTGGGCAAAAAATATAGCCTTTTCTTTAATGATTAAATTTGTCAAAAATATTTGACCACCTATGATCTGCTCAACCCAAAGTTGCATAGCCTTATCTAATAATAGGAACTTAACTTTTTTGTGATAAAAAATCGTCATATTAGCTTGGTTATTGTCAATCGCCAGCCAATTTTTTTTTCTTTTAAAATTTTGAAAATTGTTGAGCGATTAATGTTTAAATTTGAATTTTTTTGATTAAAATAATTTGCAATATTTGAATGTGTTTCATGTGGAAACTTATTACTATATGCGCAAATTTCACATTTTAAACTATTACTAATTGCCATTTTGGCTCTTTTGTTTGACATTATTTATATTCTTAAAGTAAAACAAAATTCTTTATGGCAAATTTAAACCTTATCCAAGATGAACCCTTGACCACGACAAAGCCTTGACCCTGACCACAGCGAAACCTTAAACTTAATCACAGTAAAACTTCAACTCTAATCATAGCAAAACCTTGACCCTAAACATGGCAAAACTTTAATTCTAACTTCGGTAAAACTTTAACCCTGACCACGGCAAAGCTTTAACCTTAACCATGGCGAAACCTTAACCTTGACCACAGCGCAACCTTGATCACAGTGAAACTGACCTTGAGTGAAACTTTGACCATAGCGAAGCTGACCTTGGGTGAAATCTTGACCTTGACTGCAACAAGACCTTGGCTACAGAGATATTTATCTGCTATGAAAATTTGACTGCACCAAAATTTGAACACAGGGATTTTTATAGTCTTGAAACATAAAAAAAAACCCTGATTAAAAGAATTTATACACAGTAAAACTAAATTGTAATCACGAATAAAAACTAGCTTACAGAAATTGAACACAGTAAAACTTGATTAGAGCTCAGATAAAAATTGAATGCAGAAACTATATGTATAAACCTGCATTGTCAGAAGAACTTCTAAGCACACAAAATTTTTTTTTTTTGCAAATTTATAAGAATTTGTCTATTTATCTAATGAATTAATTTTATAATCTTACCCTTTTTGGTGTAATTGATTATCTAACTAAATTAGTATTATGATTGTTAAAGTCCTCGTGCATATTGACATGAGGCTAACACGATAGCGTGGTGCCTCTGATGTCATAAAGTAGGCTCCAGAATGTGTTCTCTTTCATATTAATCTAAATATATAAAAGTGATGCATATTTATTCTAATAAATAGAAGAACCTCATTCTTATACTAAAGTAACATAAACATAATTAAGTCGCCCTAATAGAATTACATGCTCTATAGAAACCTTTTGTTATTTGGTTAAAGCTACATTGTGTATTCATTATGCATCACTCTCACAACCAACCGTTATATTAACCAATCATAGTTACATATTCATAGCCAATAAAATCGTACTCACGTGATTTAATCATACGTAGAATTCAAATGTGATTTTAAAGAGGTAATTTACTTAATAAATTAGTACAGTACCGGACAGCAAAAAATATCCAATTTTTTTGACAATT